CGCCCTCGACCTCCTCCTCCTCCTCCGCGTCGCCCTCGTCCGCGAGGCCGTCGGCCTCCCTCCCCGAGTCCTCGCCCAGCACCTCGCCCAATGCGGCGAACACGCTCCGGCGCAGTGCCGCGGCCTCCGCCGCGATCGCGCACTCTTTCGCCGCGGCCCCGTCAGTGAGCCGCTCCGCGACGGCCCCCTCCGCGCCCTCCGCGGGGTGGTCCGCGGCTCTTTGGGCGGGCCGCTCTGCGGCGACGGCCTCCGCAGAAGGCGCGCCGTCGGCGGGCCGCTCTGCGGCAGCCTGTTCCGCGCCCTCCACGGGCTGGTCCGCAGCGGCCCCATGGGCGGGCCGCTCCGCGGCGGCGACCTCCGCTGTCGGCGCGCCGTCTGCGCCGGGCGCCTCGCCCGTGGGCCGCTCGGTGCTGCGTGCGCCGCCCGCCGCGGCGGACGCCGCACGCAGCACCGCGCGCGAGGCGCGCATCGCGGCAGGCTTGGTGACCGCCTTGGGCCCGGCGCGCGCGGCCCACTCGAGACCCTCGGCCGCCAGCCGCGCGTCCAGGGCGGCCAGGAACTCGTCCAGGGCGCCCTCGTGGACGCCGAGCAGCCTCTCCAACCGGCTCTGCTTCTTCGCGCGGAGCACGTCGCAGTGGTCGGCCATGAGGTCCGCGCACTCGCGCACCGTGAAGTGGCCCGCGTCGCGCCTGCACAGGCCCCAGAGGGCGTTGAAGGAGCCTGCCACGGACGCTGCGGCACAGCACGGGGACGGCTGCACCAGCCAGCCGTCCAGCAGGGACTTGTTGAAGCCGCCGGCCCAGCAGCTCCTTCCGGCAAGCGTGGATGCGCCAGCAACCTGGAGGGGCACGGCCGCCCCCCGCGCCCCCGAGGCGGCGGGGAGAGCCTCCTGGACGAGCAGCAGCAGGGGGTCCACGCTCCACCCGGTGTCCTCTCCACAGAGGGCAGGCCTCACACCACCACCACCACCACCATGCCTGGCCAAAGGGCATCCCGAGCCGTGACAGCAACTACAGACCCCCCTGGCCTGCGCCAGGAGGGCGTAGGATGGTCTTGGCCAGGCATGTACTGCAGTGCGTATATGTATATATATATATGTATATATATATATATGTATATATGCATATATGTATATATATATATATATATATATGCCTTCCCAGCTCTCCGATGCCCGGGTATTTCCAATGCTGGGCCCCCAGAAGTCCCGACCCTTGCCCCCCGACCAGCGTGGCATCCCGAGCCTTTTTTGGACGGCTCCAGAGCCCCAAGCGGGCCCTCATGGGAGGCCGAGCGCGAAGAAACGCCTTTGTCTCGATGCTCTCTCTCAAGGATCGACAAGACCCCAGACCCCTTTCGCAAGACTCCCTTTGGCGGAAACTGGCGGGCACACACATCGCGTGCACGCGGCACCGCGTTGCGAGTGCACCCGTGCGGAATATGTGATCGACGTCCGACTGCACCAAAGAAACACAAAACACGCACACACGCATGCACAGACACACAAAGACACACAGACACACACACACACAAACAAACAAACACACACACGCACACACAGACACACACACACACACAAACACGCACACACACAAACACACACACACACTAATACTAACACTTTTTGGCAATCGCGGCTTCGCGCACGGCGACGAGGCGTAGAACACCGAGTCCGGGCTGGGACGAGCGCGGCGGGCCCCTGAGCGGATCAGAAGTCCGTGCAGCACAACCGCGCCGTGCGTACTGTCCAGCACAGAGAGGGCGAAGTGGAAGACAGGCCCGTGGATGACGGGTGCTACGAACGACAGGTGAGCAGAAAAGGGTGCGGCGACGGACAGGTGCAGAGGAGGACAGGGCGGTGAAGGACACCCCGAGAACGACGAGAGAGGAGGCGCACTGCGGCGAGCGACGAGAGCCAAGGCAGCGGCGGTAGAACGGTGGGTGAAAGCGCCAAACGGGCGGTCGAGGCAATACGCGACAAAGGAGGGCAAGACAGTGGTGCAGCGGACGAGCCGACAAGGCAGGCCGCGTGAGCCAGTCGCCAGGCGGGGGATGGGCCCCATGGCGGGCCCAAGAGTAGAAGAAGAAACATCAGCTTGAACATTAACTTTCGGCGTAGAGGGGCGTGCAGTAGAAGGGTTCAGGGCGTAGAGAAGGCGAGCCCAAGGAGGAGCGAGCGGAGGCCGATCGGGCAGGCCAAAGGAGGAGGGGCGCAGGGCCCGCGGGCAACCACGCAGCTGGGAATCATTGGCGACGCGTGACAAGGGGAACGGGAGAGGGGGGAAAGGCTTCTTGGAAGGAGGCTGCTTCTCGGAAGGCGCCGGCCCTACCTCTACAGACGAGGCCCGCGCCTTCAAAGAAGCAGGGGTGCTTCTAAGAAGCCTACCCCCACCCCTACTGGACGCCTCCTGCATGGGGTCGGAAGAGATGGGGTCGGAGGATCGCGCCGCATCGCCGAGGACTCGGCGATGCATCAGCGCCGTCCGCGTGAAGAAAATCGGGCTCCGCGTCGAGCCGCATCGGCGATGCATCGGCGATGCGGCGCCGATGCTCCGACCCCATCTGCTCAGACCCCATCTGGTAGGCCTGGATTTTCTGAGACGCAGTACTTTGCCCCCCTCCCCCCGATTGCCCCCCTTGGGCGCGAGAGCGAAGCTCTCCATAGCTGGTGGACGGGGAGGGCCCGGCGACCCCCGCGGCCAGGAAGTCCAGACCGTCCGGGCACGCCGAGCCGAGGCCCCCGCGAGGAGGAGCCGCGGCGCAGGGCGGAGCCCTGCCGGCCACAGCGGGCCGCGCGAGCGCCGACTCCCCGCGGGGCGGGCCGGCACGGGGCGGGGCGGCGCGGGACAGGCGCAGACCTGGACCGCGCGACGCGGTCGGGCCCAGGGGAGGCGCAAGCACTCCAGAGGGGTCGGCGAGCAGCGTGGCCCGCAAGTGCCCTCGCGGGAGGGTGTAACCCCTCCTGGGGGGGGGCATGGCTGCGTGCCCTCTGCCAGGATCGCGTCTCCAGGAAGGCGAGGAGGATATATCCTTGTCGCAGTGCGGGACGGCACCAACCCAGGGGTTTCGACCAGGGAAGCGCTGCAGCAGGAAGGCCTGCGATCCCTGGAACAGCGCGCGCTTCCGTTGTGGCACGTGTCTGTCCCCCTGGGAGCGGAGCTGCCCCTGCACGAGGAGCTGCAATGATAGGTGTCCAGCGTTTTATTGCTCGAACGCGGTGGCGGGGATAATTAACGGCGGGGACGGCAGCAGGTAGAGGCCTCGTGGATGGGGTCCGAGTAGGTGGGGCCGAAGGATCGCGCCGCATCGCCAATGCATCGCCGATGCATCGGCGACGTCGGCTTGGGGAAACACGGTCTCCACATCGAGCCGCATCGTCGATGCATCGGCGATGCGGCGCGATCTTCCGACCTCATCTACTCGGACCCCATCTAGGAGGCCAAGAGCAGGGCGCTCTTGAACGGTGACCCAACAGCCTCAGTTGGGCGAAGCCAGTCCAGCTGGTTTGAGTTCCGGTGATCGTTGCCACCGGAATCGCCGTCGCGTTGGGCGGCGGGGCCCCCGCCGTGACCTGCAAGGACAGAGTTGGGCGGGTGGTCCCGCTCATCGCTCCCTGGGGGCTCCCCCATGACCTCAACAATGGCGCACGGGGGTGCATCGCTGCTGGCGCCCGGGGTCAACTCACGGGCGTCGGAAGGCGCCGCCGGCCCAGGATGGGGCCTGCGCCGTACGTGCCGCCGTCCGCCCCCTGGGCAGCGGAGGACACCCAACGATCAGCGACACCGACTGGGCACTGCACCTGTACACCGTGAGTGCCAGTGTCGAGCGCACCGGTGCAGAACCCCTCAGTCGACCTGTCCAGGTGGTCGCTTCTGCAGTGCCCGATGCGAGGCGGCGACGTATACATGCCCGCCGTTCGGGGGTTCGATCCTCGGGGACTGTGGCAGGCGGCGGCTGTGGGTGTGCTCGCCCCCACCCCACAGCCCGAGCATGTGCAGATCCACCGGCTCCGAGGTCTCCGAAGCTCAACCCCCCATGCAGTGGATTGTGCGCCCGGCCCCAAACTCTCGACGCCGGCGCTGCTGCTCGCAGGGGCGAGAGAGCGGGGAACACCAGCGTTTGGGGCCGCATCCAGGGCCCCAGGTTGAGCGAACAGCGGCGCGCTCCCAGCAGAACGCCGGCCGCAGCATATCTCCAAGATTCGGAGCACAGGGCGGGCTGCGACGACGGCAGCTCAGAATCGGCGCCCGGGCCCCTCCCGGGGTCCGAGCGCAGCGATGTCCCGAACTGCGTCCAAGATGCGGTCCAAGGTTTCCAGAGCATCTATGAAGGGGCCCCCCAGGACACACAAATAAACACACACACACAAATGAAAATATTCTCCATATTTTCACGTATTTTCTGGGTTTCTGTCTTCCCCCCACTCCCCATATTTTCCCATATTTTCTAGGAAATCGATGATTAATTATGTCTGTGTGTTTCCTTTTTTCCTCCTGAATCTAGCGGCGCAGCTGGTGCGGAACACTGGCAAAGATGGCACATCCTGGAAGCCGTGGGAATCTTGGAAGGTACATTGGGAGCTCGACCAGAAGAAACCTTCCACAAGGAACCCAACCCTGAGACCCCAGGACGTCCATTCTGTCCATCACAAGACGAAACCCAAGGAACCCAGGGCACCCTGGAGGCAAGAATGATGCTTCTCGGCATGGGTTCCCACTGTGCCATTCTCGTGACCTCTTGCTCCTCTGGTGTCGGGGATCTTCTGACCAAGGTCAATCCAGACCCGGGTCAGTCAGGCCCTGCAGAATCCTGAAAGATCCTGCACCCAAACCCGGGCCATGGCGAAAGATCCTGCGAGATCCTGCAGGGTCCTGCACCCAAACCCGGGTCAATGCGACCCTGGCCCTGCAGGATCCTGCAAGATCGGGCGCTCTGGCTGACCCCCGTTTGCAGTGACCCCGGAGGAGGAATGGGAGGAAGCGGAGGAGGAGGAGGAGGAGGAGGAGGAGGAGGAGGAGGAGGAGGAGGAGGAGAGGAAGGAGGAGGAGAAGGAGGAGGAGGAGGAGGAGGCCGAGGAGATCGGGCGCTCTGGCTGACCCCCGGTTGCACTGACCCCCGTCCCTTGAGCGCCGATGGCGTGCGGGTCCTCCTCCAGGTCGGAGGGCGCGGGCTCGGGGCTCGCCTCGGGCGGCTCCCCGCGCCGGCGCGCCGCCTCGGCACCCAGCTGCTGCTGCAGGAAGCCCAGGGGGTCCGCGGGCCGCTCCCGCCCCACGGCCAGCAGCAGCTGCGCGAGGACCGGGTGCGCCGAGGCTTGCCATCGCTCGGGCGTCCATTTTCCTTCCGTGCACTTCTCGGTGCTGTGCGTGGCTTCTTGCTCGAGTGTCCCGGATGCTCCTCGAGTGCCCTCGCCGAGAAGAACAGAGCACACGTCCGAGCGATGCCAAGGAGAAGGGGGGCCAGAGGAAGGTGAACGTTCTCTTACTTGAGCAGGGTCCGACCGTTCCGGCATTCCTATAGTCCTACCACGAATAGTTCTTAGAGCCCAAACATGTTCTAAGAACAAAAACAATGTTCTTAGAACATATTTCCGATGTGTTTAAACAAGACAGTCCCAGCCAGAAATGTTCTAAGAACATTTCTTGGAAACCACAATAGGTTCTTAGAACATTGTTTGGTAGGGCTATAAGCGAGCCAGGACGCTTCGCCACTGCTTGACTTATTCGGCGTTTCGACATTGGGCGGCAGGGGAGGGGGGAGGGGGGGGGGGCGGTCGCGCCCCAGACCTCTACTTATAACGCGGCCGCTTGCAGCACTGCGTCCCTATGGGGGGAGACTCCACCTGCGTGCAACAGGCGCCCCAAACAGCCAAGATCTGCTCCATGGGGCGGCCAGGGGGGTGCGGGGGCCCGCGCCAACCGGCAAAAACAACGAATAGGAAAACGATCAGAAGGGTGTGTGTGTGTGTGTATGTGCGTGTGTGTGTGTGTGCGTGTATGTGTGTGCGTGCGTGCGTGCGTGCGTGCGTGCGTGCGTGCGTGCGTGCATGCGTGCGTGCGTGCGTGTGTGTGTGTGTGTGTGTGTGTGTGTGTGTGTGTGAGTGTGAGTGCGTGCGTGTGTGTGTGTGTGTGTGAGTGTGAGTGCGTGCGTGCGTGCGTGCGTGTGTGTGTATATGTGTGTGTGGGGGGCTCAACATGCGCCCCTCGTGTCAAGATTTCGTGTTCATGTTGAGCCCACGTCGAGCCTCTCAGGTCAGAGGCGCATCGTCGCCAAGGGCTGCTCCCGCACAGCCCTCGGGCATGTCGCGCCCATGCTGCGCCCCCTCCGGCCTCGGGTGCCATAGCACTGGCACCCACGAACGGGCCGCTGTGAGGGGGAGGGCCAGGGAGGGGAAGCGCGAGGGGCATGCGCGAGGAGGACGAGGGGCGGGGGGCACGCAGCGTGCTCGGAAGAAGGCGAGGGCGCCCCGAAGCCTGGGAGGTGCCGTGCCCTCGGCCATGCCTGGAGGCCTCCCGGATGGGGTCCGAGCAGGTGGGGTCGAAGCATCGCGCCGCATCGCCGCTACAGCGGCGATGCACCGGCGACGCACCAGCGATGCATCGGCGACGTCTGCGATGCATCGGCGACGCCGGCGTGAAGACAATCGGGCTCCGCGTCGAGGCGCATCGCCGATGCACCGGCGATGTGGCACGATCCTCCGACCCCGTCTACAGTCGGGGTGCTGACCGAAGGAACCCTAAATAAGGAACGGGGCCCCTTTCTCCCATAAGCTGAACTTCGATTTCCCATGGAAAACCCCAGGAGAACAGAAGGCAAGCTGTAGAACCGTCAGGGAACACCGAGCCCCTCCCCAACGACAAAGGGCTCCTTCTTCAGGGCCCCAGCTGTACCCCGACGCCGCAGGAGGCCTCGAGGTACCCCCCCCCCGCCCTCTGGTCCCCGCCCCGCTCTCGGGCGCCCCCGGAGAGGAGGGGCCGGAGCCCGTGCTCCTCGAAGTAGGCGCGCGCCTCCTCGACCGTCGCCTCCATGCTCTCGCGCGTGCGCGCGCGCCGCGAGGCGGAGGTGCCGGGGCAGCCCCCTCGAGCCCCGGGGCGGAGCAGCCAGGGCTCCTTCCTCCTCCTCCTCCTCCTCCTCCTCCTCCTCCTCGTTCTCCTCCTCCTCCTCCTCCTCCTCCTCCTCCTCCTCCTCCTCCTCTTCGTCCTCCTCCTCGTCGTCGTCCTTCTCCTCCTCCTCGCGAGGTGCCGGGGCAGCCCCCTCGAGCCCCGGGGGGGGGGGGCAGAGCGCGGGGAGGGTTAGCACGCGGTGGACGGGCTCTGGGCTTTGGTGCTCGCCGCTTTGAAAGGCCTCCTGGCTGGGGTCGGAGCAGATGGGGTCGGAGGGTCGCGCCGCCTCGCCGATGCGTCGCCGATGCATCGACGACGCCAGCGTGGAGAAAATCGGAAAACGATGAGGAGGAGGAGGAGGAGGAAAGGCGGAGGCGGAGGGGGAGGAGGAGGAGGAGGAGGAGGAGGAGGAGGAGGAGGAGGAGGACGAGGAGGAGAAGGAGGAGGGCCCAGCAACAGCTCAAGTGTCAGAGAAGACTGCTGTCGCGAGGTAGGCCTACTACAACAAGATGAAGGAGGCAGAACACCACGTCTCCGTTATCGAACCACAGAGACTCAACGACCTCAGTGAACAAGTGGAGCTCAGCAGAGCTATGCTGAGCTCCGACAACCTGCTTCGCAACGCCCGTGTGGGGATTCAAGGCCGAGGAACAAACGCATGAAGGTCACCATCCGAAGCATGGCAGAGCGGTACCAACAGAGAGAGAGAGAGAGAGTCTCCGACATCGAGAGACAGGTTCGTGCCAAGCATCATGAACAAGCGGGGCACCATGAACCTTAACTGAGCACGGCAATCGCTGGCATGACCGACTACCAGGGGCAGGCGCAACAAGAAGCAGCTCCAGCAGAAGGGCAGTTGCAACTTGTCCTACTGCGAGCGAAGATCAGTTCCTTCCAGCAGGAGATCGACATGTACAACAAGAAGGAGTCAATGTGCAGAGAATTGAACGCCATCCACCAGAAGCGCACCGAGGAGGCCACACAGGAGTACTTCTACGTTCTACGCGCAGCAAGCAGCACCTCAGGCGCAACAGCGCCTGTCACACGTCGTGACGCTAGACCAATTCGAAAAGCGGCTATCCACCGAGATCCCCAGCGACACCAAAGGGACCACGAACTTCCGGCAACTGGTGGAGCCACCGTCCATGCAAAACATCTGCCAGGGCGCTACGCGACCTACTCAGACTCAAAGCGACCAGGCGGCCAGGGAGGCCGACGCTATGAGAGCAATCGTGGCCATCCCATCTTACGTTGACCTCACCTCAGCGGCCCACCGGGAGCCAGGACCAGCATTCTTTGGCTATGCCATCACAGGCGCTGGGGCTGAAAACAAGCCCCCGAGTACGTTCGACCAACATGCTACGAGCACGACCACGGGGTCCCAGCCCAGCACCATCAGCCAGGCGGAAGCCAATAGAAGCGGCGCGCGCCAAGGCACAGCAGGAGGCACGACCAAGATCAGCACCTACATGCGGCTCACCCTGCACAAACTCACCCGCGCCGCCAGGTAAGGCCAGACCTGTGGTGAGAAAAATTTGAGTTGGTTGCGTTGGTACGCGCCACACTGGTTGCGTTGGTACGCCACGCACCACTGGCGTGTCATCCTCCTCTGCTCGGGGGGAGCCATCCTCCACGGATTTGGCTAGACTGCCAGCGTCCGCGCAGGCGAGAGGTGCGTAGGACACGGCCCGATGGAAACCTGGGTGCGAGGATACTGCGGCAGCGCACAATGGGTCAGAACGCTCACCAGAGCTGGCGAGCCGACGGCCGATCTCCAGACGCCGCTCGTCCAAAAGCAACCCACTGTAGTCTCGCAGTCCGAGGCCACTTTCAATACGATCGGGGCCCATCTGTCCCAGGCCGTGAAAGCGCGTGGCACGCTCACACGCGTTGCGCGCTAGGGGTGGTGGCGGTCGACCAAGCCGCCGCAGTCGCAGCCACAGCCCGCGCCACGACCGCAGGGGCACCAGCCCGTCGGCAGGCCAAGCCCACGCCTGCGACCGTGGAGCTGGTTTCGCTGGCCGTGCTCCATCTCGTCGCCAAGGCTGAACGGCCAGCTCACAATTTCCGTTGACAGCCAAGCCGCGGTCGACGGATTCAACGACCTTCTCTCCCGCAAACCACCGCCGCGAACGGGTGCTCAGGCCGACCTCTGGCCTAAGATCAAGAGGATCATACAGGCCAGACCAGACATGTCCAAAGGCCCCAAAAACACATGGGCGGGCAAGGCATCGACGAGGGGCGCATCACGCCAAAGGCTTAAGCCTTCAACCGCCACGCCAACGAGCTCGCCACTGCCAGCGCACTCCTGCGTGCACTTCCACAAGGTCTCGTCGACGCCGCCCAGCGGCGACATCCACTCGATGCACGGTTGTCGCCATCTACGGCCGACCTCACCAAACACTCCCCCTGCCTGACAAGACACAAGAGCGGGATAATCCCGGGCTCAACTCAGCAAGATGATGCCCAACCCTCCCACCACAGGCCAAGGCGGGAACGAAAAACCAGGCTCATCAGGTGGCCCCGACCACCACGAGGGCCCACCGGGACCTGACTGCCTCAACCACCTCGATGATCCGTGGTCGGGCCAGCTCGATTACCTCGACGGCGACGAATTCGACCCGCTCGGGCGCGGCGCCTCCATGAACGACGGCGACGGCGACGACGAACGCAGTGACCACGCTCACCCGTAAGACGCGCGCCAATCGTGTCTCCCCCACGGGCAGGACCAGGCGGCTCGTGATATCCCCCCCGACCATCGCCACCAGCTCCCACCACCAACACGCCAGCTCCTCCTCACACCAGGGTGCGGAGGGCAGTGATTGGCCAAGCACCACCACCGGCGCAGGGCACGGATCTTTGTGTTCCCAGCAGTCCGACCGCAAGCAAGCCCTCGCGCGCCACTTCACGGCTGCTACACGGCAGCCTGACGGCGACCGCGAATTCGGTCTCACTGCTAGTGTTAACGCGCTGCGCCAGTCAGCAAACCACCTCGCCCGATTCCTCCAGCACATCCACGAACAGTCAGCTGCGCTTCCACCATGCACACACGGCCTGGGACGACTTGCAGCAGACCTTCTGGCCCGCCGCCTCCCTTGGGGCGTCCCTTTAGGACACTGCTTAGGCCCTCCTTGCTGCCCAACGCGCCTCGCACCAGTGCTAGCGCCCTTCCTCTTTGTGGGCTCCGTGGTCTGTTGGCACCTGCTCAGCTGCCCCGAGGGGTGTGCCCCAAGGCGGCGCCGCCACTGTCCGGGCGCCGCATCGCGCATGCCAATGCGTGTGTACAGCGGGCGTCTCTCTGCCTGTCCATGTGCAGACGGAATGCTCCACGCTCTGATTCCCACGTCCCGCCTCTGATTTACAGTCGGGGTCCCCACAACCCGCGCCATGGGGAAGTGTAGTTCCCCCACCCCTGCTCGCACGCCAGCGGCACCTCCCGCCACATGAGGTTGGCGTGGATGGCGTTTGCAGCCCTCGCGCCACAATGGACTTCGGCTCGTCGAACTGTTGCAACATCTCTCTCTCTCTCTTTTTTTTTCTCTCTCTCTCTCTCTCTCTCTCTCTCCCCCGCTCTCTCTCATCGCCTCTTTCCCGAGCTTTCTCGTTCTCTGTCTCTTTCTCTCTCTCTCTCTCTCTTTCTACATCTCTCTCTGTCACTCTCTCTCTCTTTCTCTCACTCTCTCCCTCCCTCTCTCATCTTCTCTCTCCCGCTCCCTCTCCCTGGCGGCGCTGCCCAGGGAGGGAGGCGGGACGAGGACGGGGGGAGGTGGCGGAGGTGGAGCGGGAGGACGGCGGAGGAGCCAGTGGAGGACGTCGTCGATTGGACGGCGACGCCGGTGGGAAGGAGGCCGAGGTACAGGCCCTCCCTCCGCCGGCGCCTCCCCTGCGGCCCGGGCCTGCGGCACGCCCGCGGGCGCGCCGGCGCCGAGGGGCACCCCCCTGATGTTGGGCCGGGCACGTCCCCCTACAGTCGGATTTCTGACAAAAAATTATATATATATATATATATATATATATATATATATATAAAAAAGGAGTTTCCAAATTCTCAAGATACTGAGAAATAGTAGTCCCGATATATTTGTCTTGACGCAGTTTGTTTGATTCTCCCCCTGCAGGGGCACACGCCCGACTCAACCCTTGACGGGCCTGTTTTCCACCACCACCACCACAAGTTGGAGGGGGGAGGAGGAGGGAGGAGGAGGAGGAGGAGGAGGAGGAGGAGGAGGAGGCCCCCTCCCCCTCCGACTCATGGTGGTGGTGGTGGCAAACAGGCCCATCCACCCCGGTGCCGCGGGGCGCCCTCCCCCGGCAGGGCCCGCCCCCGCGGCCGCGGCGCCCCCGCGCAGCCCGCCGGCCCGCCCGCCGACCCGGCCCGCTCGCCTCGGGGCGGGGGCCCGGCCGCGGCGGCGGGGCGCCGCGGGCGGCGCGCCGCGGGCGGCGCGCCGACGGGGGGGGGGCGAGGGCAGAGGCCTCTCCCGGAAGGGGGGTCCGAGTGCGGCAGGCTCGTGCCGCGTCGACCTGGGCGTGGGCTCCCGTACGCCGCGGGGATCGCTCCGCCTCGAACGGCAGGCCCTTCCTCCTCCTCCTCCTCCTCCTCCTCCTCCTCCTCCCTCCTCCTCCTCATCCTCCTCCTCCTCCTCCTCCTCCTCCTCGTCCTCCTCCTCCTCCTCCTCCTCCTCCTCCTCCTCCCTCCTCCTCCTCCTCCTCAACGTCCGATCGTTCAACATCGACCGATTCTGGGCCGCCGCCGGCTTTCGACGTTGAACGCCGGCGTCGAGGTCGCCGCCGGTGGACACGACGCGAAGCTACCGTAGATGGGGTCGGAGGATCTCGCCGCATCGCCGATGCATCGGCGCGCCGACGCCCCTCGGAGGCCCGGCGGCCGCCGCGCTCCTCCGAGGGGGTTGAGCGGAGGGGGCCCT